GAGCCCCGGCCAAGGCTGCCCGGGCCGGTGCGGCCCATCCAGCTCCCCTGGCCGCCTCTGGGGTCTCGCTGGGCCGCGCAGGGACCTGTCCTTGCCCTCCCCTGACCCAGCTCCTTCCTGCTTCCTTCAGCCGCTCTTTGGCTTCGTGTGGGAAGCAGGAGATGCAGCAGGCCCAGCGCTCGACGAACGTGCCTGACTATCGGCATTAATTCTTTCCTCACAGATCCAAGGAGGACAAAAGATCAGATTTTTTTATCTTTATTCTCTCCCCAGCTACAAGAGAGGAATTTTTGCCAAAGTGATAATTACTATTTCTGGTGAAGGCTTTTCATTTGGAGGCGTCTTTGAAGAGCGCGGACTAAATTACTTCATTAATGAGACATTTTCTGGCAGCACTACTTGTTGGTTCAAGTGTTGTAAACACAGTGAACTGGTCCAGACATGGAGCCAAGCAGTGGCCCCCAAGCCCTCTCCCTGCAGCACGTGGACTCCGCAGGGAGCAGGCATCACACGGCCGAAGCCACCATCGCGCTACGTGGCATTGCCCGTGACACCCTGGTGCTGCACTTGCTGGGCTGCCTGTGGCAGCCTCTCGGGGCGGTTTGGCTGAGTGCACTTGCTGGGCTGCCTGTGGCAGCCTCTCGGGTCGTTTTGCCTGAGGAAATAATGCCATGTCTGCAGCAAACGGTTACGCTGCAGAGATGCTGGAGCGTGGATGCCTCATTCCTCCTCGGAGCGGTGGCAGTGGTTCCAGGCTTCTCTGTAATGCTTCTTTGGCCCTTAACCGACTGCTTTTTGTTTATTACTCCCATTTGCCAATTCTGTTTGGTGAATAAATTGTAGATTTTGTTCAGGGCTTTCCATCCAAGTGCAGCATAGTTAGAAAAAACTGTAATGTAAGCTGGCACCTTGCTCAGCAGGTCTGTCCCAGGTGTGTGCTAGCCATGGCTCTTGCCTCTACTGCCAAAAGCAAAGCAGCTTTTTGGAGCAGCAGCTGCCACTTTCTGTGTATTGGCCTGGCTTCCAGCATGGTGGGTCTTTGACTGGTCCCCCCAGATGCTAAAACACTAGAATCACTCATTAATGGTCAAAGTGTTAGCACGGTAATGAGAATCTGATGGCAGTCACCCCTACCAGCAGAACCAGAGAAAGTGGTTTGACTCCCCCTGCCCATAATGAGTTGTTTTTAAAACAACACATAAATAACAGAAGTAACCAACTTGGAAATCCACAGTGCCAACCTTGTAGCAAATGCTTTGCTGCAGCTATGGGGTTTGGCTGTGACAGACGGATTATTGGCCTTGCCAGCCATAATCACACTCTGTGTGTGCTACCAGTGCATGAGCCGCATGTTTCTGGAGATGAGCACGAGCTACAAAGCTTGATTCAGGACTTCAAGTATGGCTGGATTTGGATGTCTTGGTTTTGAGATCTGAGTCTGGCTCATTACGGAGACAAGTCTGTTGACAATGGTTTGACATGGTGGGTTCATTTCCAAACTTTATTGGAGTTCACAGTCTGGGTTTATTGGGATCCTTCTTGGATTACTTTGCTGATGATTAATACTCTCCGTTTTCTTAGAATAACCAGATAGAAGAAATCTTTCCAGAAGAGCTTGCTCGTCTTTACAGACTGGAAACTCTCAATTTGCAAAACAACAGGCTGACTTCAAAAGGTAAGTTGGCAGAGCCACGAAGTGGACAGAGCTGGTGCCTCCACAACACCAGCACATGCAGTGGGACCAGTGACGGCTGATAAGGAAAGCCACGGGGTGATGGATTGACCTGGCTGGAGTGGTTAGCTGTAAGCCTCGCTCCTTTGGCCATCACACAGGTCATGGAGGCGCTTTATCATCCGAAACATAATACTCAGTGTGTAAGAATGCAGCCTCACTGAACCAGTGGAGAGGACCTGGCAGCAGCGCTGTGTACTGTGGTGTGAGATCTCATCCAGGAAACTCCCTGCAGTCCCACAGGCACATCAATGCAATGCACTTGAGAACCAGAAATGTCTGCATGCTGAATGATTTCCTTCTGACCTTGTTTCTTAATCAACTTGTTTAGTTCAGTCTAGTCACTCAGTTAGGGCAGTTTAGTGCAGTTTAGCCCTTGTCACATTGAATATAAATAATATATGTTACAAATAAGGCAACTTCTACCCTTCTTCTGAAACCATTTTGATCTTTTTGTAGGCAGGTTTTGCTTGCTAAGTCGTGCGCTTATTAGAGAAACTTGACAAGGGGTTAGTAAAGAAAGCAAAAGACACAGAAGAGTTGAAGTGAATAGTTAGAGAGGAGGATATGCAGTACAGAAGATGGAATTGTTGTTAACTTGCGTGCAACCCAGCTTGTGTGTTGCTCTAATGCTGTCGCTGTCCTTATCCAGTGATACAGAACAACCTTTACTGAGAATGTGGGGATATTATGCATGGGACCCAAAACTTGCCACTCTTACAGAGCACAGGGAAGGCTGTGTAAGACATTATTACCTCTGGGGCTTGATGTTTCTTTCACAAGCTTCAGTGCAGCCCTGAGTTTCCAATATGTTTTGACATGGGAAATAGCTTCACCTTTGACTTATGGTTATCTAAGTGCCAGGTGAAAATGTTATTTGCAACCTTTCCATTGTGAGAGCGATTATGCTTGTGTGATCAGCTGGGTGTGGAGTGATTCAGCTGAAAATTAGTAATTATTGGGGGAGGATAAGCTGCAAGTTGGATCAGCTCTCTGAGCTGGTTTCTGCATGGCTACCTGGACTGCGTGGGAGCAGAACGAGGGAAGGGTTACGACGTGCAGATACTGGTGGTATTTTGGCAACAACATGGTCATAAGTCAGACTGACCTAACCATTATACAACCTCAGATTGTGTCCTTCCAAGAAAAATGATTTGCAGATTCATGAGCAAATGACAAAAGAAAATTCTCAGATAGCATGGTGGTTGTGAGCAGCGATAACCAGCTATGGAGCAAGTCTACACAGCTCTGTACCTGACCCCTGACAGTGGGGCTGGCTGCAGCCCTTGCATGCTTAGCGTTTTTAATGGTCTTCCATTGCTCTTAACGGTCTGTAGGGTTGTTTTTTAATTAAAAAACCCCCAAAGACAACAATGGGTCTGAGCCAGACTGTTTCAGCGGCAATTAAAAATGTTTATATCTCACTTGAAAAATACTATCTGAGAGAGAAAGGGACCCTCTGGTATTTTCACACAGAGAGGCAATAAGGTGCCAGTGTCACTGATCAGTTATTCCTGTTTTTAAGGGTTGCCAGAGGAAGCATTTGAACATCTGGAGAACCTGAATTACCTGTACCTGGCAAACAATAAGGTAAGAGGCTCACAAGGCTTTCAGAGTTCTTCTCTAATGAAGTTCTGCAAGTTAAACAAGCAAGTCCTCAATTCTTTTAAAATATGTATCCTACATAAGCGAAATTGTGCTGAAGAGAGAGTCTACTACAGGTTCACCTAAGGTCAAGACAATCAGTTAGTATGCTAAAACACTGGAGGTACACATGCTGGTGTATTTTGATTGCTTATTTCTTTGTGCATCCGGTGAAAGGTTCCCCTTGTGCACGTAGGGAGGTACAGAGACCCCCTGCATCACCGTCTTCAGTAGGCTTTGGATCAGCTGCAATGCAGATTTGGTAGCTGCCTGTATGCAAATACACTGTGGGGTAATGATGTGACGTGCTGCATGTCTCATCAGATGAGGCTGGTTAAAAATCTGTGAACAAATGCATCCTCATACCTGTGTCTGAGCCATCAGAATCTGCACAAAGCTATCCAGTTTCCCCTGACTAGGTTTGATGTGAGGGGATACCCACACACAGCGAAACTCTGCAAATATGAGTTTGTTCTTTCAGCTGCAGTGGTAGGGCCTGAATTTCGTTTTAAATGGAGAAGATCCTAGGGCTTTCCTACTAATGACCCAAGTCAGATCTCATGACAGAAACACGTCTCTCCTGCCAAGGCTAGGAAGTGAAATAACTTCTCACATACCCTTACATCTGGGTGGTTCCTGTTATGGCTTTCTTTATCCCCAGTGACTGTCCACAAATATTTGCTACAGAAGAAACTGGGATGCCAAAGAAAAATACAAGTTAAAACATCAGGCAGAGCTGCTTTTGTCTGCAGAAACCTTGCCCTTCCATCCCTCCCTCTCTCCCTCATGCTCGCTCTCTTTATATGCATGTCTGTATATGTATTTTATTATCCTGTTAAAATCTGTGACCTTTTGGTGTTTTGTTTATATACATGTGGCCACATTCAGGTTTCAGTCAGGCCAAGACATAGATTTCTGTATGGAGTGACTGAGAATAGAACCCATTCCTTAGTACAGTAACACTGTGTTCTTTTCTCCCTTTCAAGCACCATTTCCATATAACAATCTTGGCAGTTAATAACTCCATAAAAAGGAACAAGCCAGGCTGTGACTAATATTCCAGAACTTTGCACTCCCATTTTCCCTGTGTGACAAAACAAAGTGTTTGGCTTTTCTGGCTTCACTGCGGAGAGAGAAAGATCCCAAAAGAAAATGCAAACATCAGCGAATGTCAGAACGAGTTATAGTGAGAAGTTGTGGATCCACAAAAATAACACATTTCTTTATAAATCACAAGCCAGGACAAACCAGATTGGCTTCAGACTGCATCCACTCTGCAGCAGGAAACACTGCAGATCAAGTAACTGCGGTGTCTGGAGGAGAGCAGGGATTTGCTGGTAGTTTGCTCCTTGTTTTATGGATTATCTTAATGCTGCTTTATCTTCAGTTGTGATCCTGTCAGATGTAGCTCAGTTATCTTTTACTAAACTAACACAGTTGGTTGGAGAAAAGAAATACCATGATGAACTGAAAGCCTTCCCTGGCTCATGAGTAACACGTCCTTCAAGTAAAGAATGGATGCTGTAGTTTTGTTGTTAATTTTTCACCCAACTCTCATAATTTGCATCTATCACATATCATTATCCACAGTAAGCCTTGCTAGTCACAGACGTCTCTTCCAGCAAACTGCAAAGTCCTGAGCTGTCATCATTATTTACTATAAGCTGGTGATTTTGGTGACAGAAGGTTTTGCATTTCCCTGTATCCCCAAAGTGTTATGGGATTCACGTGGATCCAGCACTTCTGTTTGTATCAACGCTTGTTATAAGTAAGGAAACCAGTTTCAAAACTGGTAATAACTTCTGTATAATCCTTCTGAGTTCATTGGTTAACTCACTAGTTACTGGTGGAGGAACTGCATCTGCCATATGGAAAGGAAGACCCAGCAGTAAAGCCACAAGAAAACTGCAGCTAGAGAAATGCAGATTGGTACTTATTAGTCAATATGTGAGATAAAGCTGCTCAGCCAACTTTATTTCTGCTAACAGTTACAACAGTCCAGCGTTAATCCTTCAGGCAGTCAACCAGCGGAGATCAGCTCGTCTCATGACTAGGTGCTGAAATGCCAAAGCAGAGTCCTGAGCAAGTGCAAATTCTTGCTGGATGAAACTTCTCTTTCTCTTTCCTCTTTCTTGTGGTTTTGATGTCTTTTCATTTCACATATGTGAGCCATGCCCTTTGTTCTGTATAAAAGTTACGGCCTAATAGACCGTGTTTCAGGAGAAAAGCTTTAATGTGCCACCGTGTATGAAAGTGATTAAGTCTGTTTCCTGTGTCTGAATTCTCAATATTATGTGGCAGTAGAGACTTAGTTCTTTCTGAGACACTGTCAGGCGTTCCTAGTCAGAGATGAGCACTTCCCTGAAATCGTCTCTCCCATGTCAGGAGGTGAGAGATTACCAGGAAAGCCAATGGCAGCACTGTGGCAACTGTAGTGCTGTGTAAAATGCCCGTTTCCACTGCTGATGTACTGCCTGGAAATGCTGATAGGAGTGTGGTTTGTGGGAAAGGTCTGTCTTGTGTTTGTGACCGTTAAGCATTTATGACAGCTTAAGGATGGAGGTTTGGGCATTGGTGAAAATGAAAACTGGTAAATTATGTACTTTCATCTTTTAAAAACCAGGATTGTGTTACGAGTCCAGTAAGATGCAGGTTCGTGGATATGATCAGCGCACACTTGACACGCTAGTGGAGAGAGATCTAGGCACCCTGTAGGTAAATACATGGTTTGAGGCTTGGGTTAGGCAGTTCTGCAATGAAGCGTCTGTTCTCTCGCACATTCTTCATCTTTTAGATATTTTACACTATTATTAAGAACCAACTGCAGTGTCATTGTAATAACGATTTGACAAGTACGTTTTCTCATCATGCGAGTGTTGCTGGGCCTAGCTGGCTGTAAGGACTGCGTCCTCCTTCACACAGCAGTGCAGTGAGGAAGAAACTTCAGATTCAAAGAATTTCAAGCTAGGAGGCAGATCTCTTCCATTGTCCAGAGTTTCCCATCCTGATCTCAGAGCTTTAGATGACAAAGAATTCAGTACCTCCCTAGAAAAGGTGTTCTCTCCAGAGCCCTTCAGAGTGTACGTAAGATACCGAGTGGTCTCATTAGTACTGTAGTTAACATCTGTAGCCATGGTGATTGCACCTGCCTGCTGCAACTCAAGGATCATATCTACTGCAGCATTGCAGAACATGTTTGTTTCTCAAGGGCTTAATCTTGATGCTTAAATCTTCTGGGCTCATGCTTTCCCCAGAACCGTCCTCCAGCCTGTACCATAACCTGTGCCACTGGTTACTAGGCGAATGACTTTGCTATTAGCAGTCACTCAGTGAACCCAGCTATGGTATTATCTGGATGCTCTGTAAAGCTGAGCTTTTTTAATAATTAGTTTGCTCTCCACCAGTTTTTGTTCAGATGCGGACCTTCCTGGCATTATTTTTTTAAATCACTGACGCAGGTAGCAATAGGCAAGAGCAAACACATCAAATCCTGTGCCTCTCATTGACTAGAAAGTCTTGGAGACAGGGCCTTTCTGTATTTTGTTTCTGAGACATCATTTACTCCATGAACAAAGCATCACTGTACACTAGGTCTTTGCTTTGAAGTCCCATTTTATATTCCATCATTTGGCTCCCGAGCATCCGTGTCCTTTGGGAACCTGAATCCCCTGTTGAAAAGATAATTGTGAACAGATGCAATACTGGAACAGATGCATGAGGTGACACTTCCTCCTTCCCCAAATATACCTTCATATGGGAGTAAGTAGTAGGCCACTGTAAGGTGGGTTGGATTTTTGTGACACAAGGGTCTGAGGAATTAGGGACAATAATAAGCAACGCATTTGCTCTCTGAATAACAATTTCTTGATTTCTTCCATCTAAAAGAGACAGGACTCCTCCAGCCAAAACAAACATTGACATATCTTGGAGCAGAAGTCAGTCTCTTTCCTGGAGAGATTCGTGAGTGAGGACAATTTGTTTTCGTTGGTGCAATCTGCGTTCATTTATTTTTGCCTGTTTAGAGAAGATAAATTTGCAAGTGTTTTGTGGCTGGTCTAATACCTGGTTAAAACATTTGTTGTGTTTAATTGGAGTTCCCCTGTATGTTTCTGTTACAGCTAACAGTGGCTCCGAAATTCCTACCAAATACCTTGATCAGTGCAGATTTTGCAGCCAATTATCTCACTAAGATATATGGGCTCACGTTTGGACAGAAACCAAACCTGAGGTAAGGCGTCGGGAAGTCAAACAATGGTAGTGTTCTGCCACTGCTTGGAGGCAGTTGACCAGTGATAAGAAGCTATCTGACTGAACCATGTTATTGCTACTTATGTTTTTTGGAAAGAACCTAACTCTTTGTTATTCCCAGCAGGAAAGATCAAATAATCTCACAGACAAACACATTCCAAGCAGTTTTGCTAACTGCCAGACGCTTTTGCATAGATAAAAATTAAATTGTCTCCATTTTATTTGTGTATCAGTTATGAGTTGAAAGGAACAGCCTTGGTTTCTCAAAATGGAGACTAACTGTTTACAAATCCCTAGTTTTATTACAGTCCCTTCATTAAAAAAACGAGAGTACAGTACTCGGTGCGGTTGAGTGTAACTCAGCTATATTAAAGCTAAACCCTTTAGCACCTTCAGAAGTGGTTCATACCCTCAGGTCTGGTTTCAAAGTTCTCTCTGGTAGTTTCAGGTTGTGATTTTCTCAGCTGGATCCAGTGGATCACATTGGCCCATCTTAAATTCAGCTGCACGTAGACCTCCTCCTGTGAGATACGGCCTGTTCCAAAGGCATTCAGAGTAATCTGTACGGACACTGCAGCGTCTAAATCCTACAAAGTCATCTCAAACTGTTGGTAGCAATTTACACATCCAAGTTTGGAAGCCGTTAAGAACAGCTGACCCAGCTGAGCTCCAGTCTTGTGATGGCCTGAAGAGCAGCACTTAGTTCCCACTGAATTAATTGAGAACTGAAGCTACTCTGTGCTTACTAGGCCTTTAGTCTCGTAGGCTCTTGGTAGCTGAAAAGGCTGAGTCAGTCACTGACTTCTGGCAGTATCTTATCATGGAAAGAAGGCCTATTTATACCCCTGTTCTTCCTTAATCTGAGCTGCAGAAGCTGCTGTGTTCTGATTTCCTGTTAAAATTCTTGCACTCTTCTGAAGTGATTTTCACGCTCTCCTGTACCAACACTAATTTTAATCGGAATCATAGCTGACTGATTTCCAAGATGGCTGATATGAAATCCTAACACAGTTGTTTCAGTTGGTTCATTTGCCCTCAGCAGAGTTCACAGTCTCTCAGACTGATTATTTGGATTGGTTTTCAGAAAGGCAAATACTTGTGAGTTAAAAGTACAGCTGACCATGCAGGGTGAACAGTATTTTCAGTGTGGCTCTGAACTCCCTGGAGTGCACGAGTACACGGTTGTGTTCCCGTCCTGAGCCTTTCCTTCCTTCCAGAAAGATGTTGCCAAGTTCTCTGCAACTGGTAGAGAATCCAGGAACAGGTTTAAAAAGCACACTTTGACACTGTGCCCTTTTGCAATTTTAACCTGTCCCTACAATTTTAGCTGCCTGCTGCATCTTGGGGTAAACACAGCGATGGAAGGGGCAATCAAATTCAGTAAAATCCTATCGTTTATTTTGTTAAAAAGAAATCAGATGAGTTAATTTAGCAGTTAAGCTGATGAACAGTAGGAATAACTTCATAAGGGTCAATTGTTCTATACAGAATTAAAACCTGTGTAAGAATGATTGTATCAGTTTTTATTAATCTGATTGGAGAAACTCTGTGAATGTTAAATGTTAAAAGTAAAAAGGACAAAGGGAAGGTAAGAAACCCGCTTTCTCTTGATCCCAAAGGTCCATTAGGAAACAAAGTTCTTCTAGACCGAGTAAGTCTGCTGTCTTTCTGTCAGTACTCCAAGCCTGTCTGAGTTGTAGGAGCAGGAGAGAAACTGTTTCCTGGGGTATTTCCAGCATTTCTGGAAGCAGAAAGAACGGAGGGGTGAGAGACAGCTCTTTCTTAAGAGATTGGTTTCGCAAGCCAAAGAAGCCCGGATTTGATTCACAGAATCACAGAACGTTAGGGATTGGAAGGGACCTCAAAAGATCATCCAGTCCAATCCCCCTGCCGGAGCAGGAACACCTTCTATTCCAAATAGAAGTTAAAACTGGGGCATATCTGTTAATCAGGTAGGAGTTCTGATCCTCTTGCTGTGGGGCCGCCACACCAACGATCTTTGTTTCAAATCCCAGACTTGCACTCAGGTTCTTGTTGAGAAGATGAGGCCACTTGTGAAATTTGTATTGGTGTGCAGGTTTGGATTTTGAACGGACCTGCATTTCAGAGAGCATTTGGACCAATCGTTTGCTTTTGCATCTATGTCCCTTGCTAAATTAAAAGGTACATTTTAGAAACAAATCTAATTATCTCAAGGAAAGAAGAAAACATTGAAGTATAGTTTTTAAACAGCTTTATCTTGGTAAACAAAACCCCCAAGATCTCACTATCTGTTTAACTTAATCTTTTTTCTCTTTCCAACAGATCTGTGTATCTTCATAACAACAAACTTTCAGATGCTGGGTTACCTGATAATATGTTCAATGGCTCTGATAATGTGGAGATACTCATCATGTCCAGCAATTTCTTGAAGTATGTTCCAAAGAATCTCCCTCCAGCGCTATATAAATTACACTTAAAGGTAATAACAGCAAGGTTTTGTATTCCTTTAGGACTGTGACAAAGTCCTGTATTTGTATGGGATTCAAACCATGCAGCCAAGCCGTTTCAGTGCACTGGAAGCATTCCCAGACCCTTTGTAGGTCTTGTCTGGTGTATCCTCAGCAGTGGCTGTCTTCCACGTCCTCACTTCTTGTTCATAAGCAGTGGTGTGTTTTTGCAAAACGCCAAAATGCTCACAGGGGACAAAAAATGCATTTCTGTGCTTTCAGGGGAATGTCTTGCAAATGCCTATGTGGTGGCGTTGCTGATCTCTTCCCTGCGTATAAAGATATTAATAGAATCACAGAATCACAGAATCGCTCGGTTGGAAAAGCCCTCTGAGATCATCACGTCCAACCGTTCCTGTCTACCCCCTAAACCATATCCTTAAGTACCTCGTCTACCCGCTCTTTAAACACATCCAGGGATGGTGACTCCACCACCTCCCTGGGCAGCCTGTTCCAGCTTCTGACGACCCTCTCAGGAAAGAACTTCCTCCTTATCTCTAACCTGAACCTCCCTTGGCACAGCTTGGTGCCGTTTCCCCTTGTTCTATCCCCCATCACCTGGGAGAAGAGCCCAGCACCCACCTCTCTCCAAGCTCCCTTGAGGCAGTTGTAGGTGGTGATGAGGTCTCCCCTCAGCCTTCTCTTCTCCAGGCTAAACAAGCCCAGTTCCCTCAGCCGCTCCTCATCAGGCTTGTTCTCCAGAGCCCTCACCATCCTTGTGGCTCTTCTCTGAACACGCTCCAGAATCTCAACATCCTTCTTCTAGTGAGGGGCCCAGAACTGAACTCAGGACTCAATTAGTACAAGAAGGTAGATCATCCACCATGGCCATCCAGTGACTGGACTCCCAGTTAGGTTTGCCACGGACGATGCTGTTTTTCCTGACAGCTGCTTATGCACTGCGTACTGGCTTTGCTCACTCATTTCACAGGGCCTACTGTTTCCTAGCATGGGTGATTTTTGTTTGCTACTGAACTGGAAATTCAGACAACACAGAGAAAGTTTGGATCAGTGATTCTCTACTGCTACAGCTTCTCCAGCAATAGTGCAGTAGCAGAAGCTGTGGTATTAACTGGTCTCCAGCATTTTTAATTGTGTCATCTGATTTCGATAAAAACACTTCATCATGTCTGTGCTAGAGATCTCAGCCTTGTTAGCAATGGGAGAGCTGCAGCAGTGGGGAATCTTGGATCCGCTTTTTCTTAGTGTTGACAGCTCCTTGGACGTGCATAGACTGGAGTCTGTTATCAGCCCCTGGACTTAGGCAGTTCTGTGCTGCCTCCCAGCTTGCTTTTCCCTTGAAGGTTTCACCGCTAATTCCCATTAAAGTCTTCTAGAAAACAGGAAAGAAAAGTAAAGGCAAACAGTCTGATCCTTTGAATTGCTGGGATTTCTCTGTGAAGCGTGAAGTTACCAGTCCCTTGCATTTTATTGCCATTTATAGGTAATCATTATCTCCCAAAGGGGCCTCAAATTTTGAGGACTGCACGTTGAAGCTGTAACTTTCCCTGCTGTCACCAGTTGTCTTAAGGGCAAAGTTGCTGAAGAGAGAAACGAACATTTTGTTTGCAAGTGCACTGCCTGTCAGTAGTAACATTTACCTTGATATTTTGACTGGGGAAAAAACAGGACAATGAGAAATGAGACACAGCCGACAGTGGACTGGAAGTGCCCGAAAGGTGTGCTTCAGATGTGATAGATACTTGTTTGTCTTTCACTGTTCACTGAGACACTCAGCCAAATCTGTCTGTGCTGGTATCCACTTATCATATGAGTTGACACATGAATTTAGTCCAGTCTGTCCATCACGTTATTGTGTATATGTGGACTGTGGGAATTTTAACAATTCAGCGTCAGTGTTTCACGTATAGTCCTAGTGTTTCATATAACCTTTTATAATGCCTACGTTTTCTGTATGGAATTTCTAAGTGGAATTTAGTTTTATATTTTGTGTCTGCCTGCTGGCAAACCCAAAGCCACACTGAGGCAATAGGAGTAATCATTTTGGAATCTCCATTGCAGGAACTGTACCTTTCGGGATGCCATTAACACTGGAAGCATGGCTGGTTCCTGGCTTCTAGCCTAGCTCTTCTTCATGGTGAAATCTGTCTTACAAAATCCATAGGTGGAAGGACTACAAATACAAAATAAAACATCTGGAGGGCAGGGGGCAGATTCTAACTCCTGAGCACAAAGATTCCACAGGGAGTCAATAAAAATAGGTTGTAATATTTCAGTCTAGTATTTGTATTTATTCCCTAAGCAGAATTATAACATCCCCTGAAATATCTTATGTCTAGCCCTCTTGAAGTTTATCTGCCTGGTGTTACTTGAGCAGAACCTGAATGTGCTGTGTTGTTTCATGCCAAATAATGTGGTTTGTGCTTCTGATGACTCTAGAACAACAAGCTAGAGAAGATTCCCAAAGGAGCCTTCAGTGAGCTTACAGGTCTGCGGGAGCTCTATTTACAGAATAACTACTTGACTAATGAAGGAATGGACAACGAAACTTTCTGGTGAGGCTGAGATCTGTAGTTTGCACCTCCGTCTGTCTCCTCTGGTACCATAGTATATCTACTGAAGAAAGTACATCTGAAAAAGTACATTTATTTAAAGCTGCATGACGTTATGCATTTCTCTGCTAAGTCTGTATGAAAAGACTTGGATTCAGATGCTGCCATTTAAAAGCAAAGGTCTGGGTCAGTGGTTTGAATTCACACTGCAGAATACTTTTATAGAAAACACTGAACATCAGATTTCATCACTCCCTGATGCCACAGACCCAATCACACCAGGTACTAAGTGCCTGCCGGGAAAAGGCCCCCTAGAACGATGCTGAAGGCTAGTCTCTGTTCTTCCAAACCAGTCAAAAGTGAGGTTACTTGGGACTTGCCAGTCTTAAGAGCAGTTCACTGGAAATTAAGGCAAGACCTTCATCTTCGCTAAAACCACTTCTGTGTTACTGTGAAGGTGACTTGACAACATCCACAGACACAGTTGTGAATTCATCTGGCACGGCTGTACCCCAGTGTAGATGGATTGCTGGAGTAGGAGGGGATGCAGTGGTGCTGCTTAATAGCCAGATGGCTGCAGAAGCTTTGCTACAAACTGGTGCACCAGAAATAGCCTTTGGCTGTCCTAAATTTAGGTATTGCTCCTTGCTCTCGTGATGCTGTCTGTAGAGCACAGCACAGTGCTACTGAGATGCACCCGAGCTGGGGAGGCGTTACAACTTGCAGCAATTAAGTGTTTTACTCAGAGAGTATATTTGCTCATTCAGACCATATTTGGATAGCTGTGAATAGAAGTGTAGTAACCAGTGAGTAACGTCTGTAAGGCATTAGTTCTTTTATTTCCTGAGAACTTTCTAGTCATCTACAGCGGGTTATGCAGTGCCATGCAGATTACAGTCTCATTGGAACTGAGAGACTGGCTTGAAATACAAGGAAATAGAGGACTCCTCAGTCCTGGCATATAATACCATTGATCCACATCCAGTTGGTATAAGTGGCTGGTCTGAGGATTTATTTTAGCTCCAACTGAGTCCGTAGAATCCAGATTCAGTAGCTTACACAAAGCGGCTCTAGCCCTGACTCACTTCCATAATGCTGGAGGGTCAGGAGAAGTTCACTACCTTAGCCTAGGATTCTGAATTAGCATTTCTGCTTTTCACAAGAGTAATATTTCATCATCTAAAAAGCAGGGCTGCTTTTCAGTTTTAATATACACTCTCAGAGACACAAACTACTCATGCTCGAGCGATGTTTCTGTGAAACCGAGAGCTAAATTCTGTGTTCGAATGCTGCTTCTGTGGCATCTTTCTTGTGGTATTTGTCCACTGAAATTGCTCACATATTGCTATCTGTGGTGTCAAATGAGAGAACACCAAAACTGACCTCAGGTCTCAGCCCTGTGGCAGTTTGGATGGCTGTGGACACTAGCAGGTTCTCTTGCTAGTGTGGCTGGGGAGCAATGGCAGCACCTAGTCCTAATCCCTCATGGCAGTATGGAAACCCCTGTTTTGCTGCCCACATCAGTCATATCATGAGACAAAAAAGGGCAGTAATGGGAGCTGTGCCAGGGAGAAGCAAAGGTTGCAGAATCCTAGGGCAAGTTGGTTATCGTTTCACTTTGCAGAATCTAAATAGAGTGTTTTCTTTCCTGCTTTCCCAAGGAAATTGTCTAGTCTTGAATATCTGGATTTGTCCAGCAATAACCTCTCACAAATCCCAAGTGGTTTACCTCGAAACATCGTCCTCCTCCACCTGGAGAAGAATGCAATTAAGGTGATTGGCAGAGATGTCTTGACCCAAATTAAGAACCTGGAGTACCTTCTGCTCCACAATAACAAATTAAAAGCCCGAGGTATTCACCCGTTAGCCTTCCATGGCTTAAAGAAGCTGCACACTGTCCACATGTACAACAACATGCTGGAAAGGATTCCCAGCGGGCTGCCCCGGCGAGTGAAAACACTTATGATCCTTCATAACCAGATCTCTGAGATTAACAGGAACGACTTTGCTACCACTTACTTCCTTGAAGAGCTGAACCTGAGCTACAATAAGCTCAAAAGTCCCCAGATCCATCGAGAGGCCTTCCGTAAACTGAGGCAACTAAAGTCCTTGGATCTTTCTGGAAACAATCTCCACACAGTGCCCTTTGGCTTTCCAAAGAACTTGCAGATTCTGAAGCTGAAGGAGAATGAGATAAGCACCATCCCAAAAGGGACTTTGTCTGGGATGACAAAGCTGCGGGAACTGTATTTGAGCAACAATAAACTGAAAATAAATTCCATTTATTCAAGAGCGTGGAGAGAACTCAGCAGTCTCCAGGTAGAAACATCACCTTCTCTCATTGTTTTAGTAATGCTGATGTCCTCGTCTGTCTGCCTAAGCCAGTTTGTGTAGCACGAATACTAGATGCACGTGGTCCTCGTGTTTTAGGCTTGCACTGTAAGTGCGTGCTGCACCTTCTGTTTCTGGAGCAGGAACGACGGGCTGTTGTGCCAGAGGTACCGCTGCTGGCGAGGAGGGTGGTGCACCGTGTACCGTGAATTCTGGGAAATGTAAAGACTTCTTTGTTTCTGAACCCTAACTGTGTCCTGTGTTTTCAGATAAACACTAGTGAGTGTTGTCATTAAAACTGAAATTATGCCTTTCAAATAGCTTGTCTCCCAAAAGATTTAAAATCAGCTCTGAAGAGAGACAGCAGGAGGAAGGAATGCATAAACAAAAACACTCTTAATTCTCAAAGCTCCCACATCAGCTTATAGTCAGACAGGCCAAGCTGTGGGATTTAGCAGCTCAGCTGGCTAAGGCACCTGGATAGCAGCTAGGAGATCTGGATTCAATCAGCAGTCTTCTCATTTGCTTAATTGTTGGAGAAAGTTAAACACAAACCATAAGGCAGGCAGGAACAATCCCATTCGTGTTGTGCAAAGCGACCTTTCAGAATTGTTACGCTGGCTGAAGGATTTGTCTGCATTTCCTTTGAGACAGCAGCCTGTTTCCTGCAGTGAAGGGTATTGCCTGTGTCATATGGCAGCCATCTATGGCACGTAGGGTTAGGTCCCTGCGCAGGCAAAGTCTGCACATCTGAGAGCAGATCAGGGATAAGGGGCATGGAGCATATGCCACACTGACCCTCAGTGTGTTTTCAGACAGTCCAAATGTTTATCTGTGTGAACATTTCCCTTGCGGTTGTTTCTGGGAATAAACAAGAGCTTGATTTTTAGTTAGTGTGGATCAGCAATGCAGCAACAGCACCTGTAGAGCTGTTGGTTTGCACCAGCTGCAGATTTTATCCATGGCTTTAATAATAGTTTTGCCTTTGTTTGGTGCTTCACTGATACATGTGTGTGTGTGTGTGTGTGTAAATATATCTAAGATGAAAAGTAGTCTGGAAGGAAGACACTGTTGAGAATTACAGATGCTGGAATTGTTTCACTGCAGTAGCTTCATCAAATGTAGGCACTGTCAACTGGGTTGCCTTTTTTCCAAGCAAAATGGGTCATGAGACCATATTCTACTGTCACTCCCTTGAAGTCAGTGTAACCCCAGCGTAACGCGCTGCGGCATCAAACATTGGCCCTTCAGTTGTTCCTGCCCCACAGCAAACCCTGTCCATATTACACAAGGTTAAGATAATGGCACATACTTAAAGTTCTGTTAGCCTACTGGTGCATTTTTGGATGTTGCTTTTTTCTGGACCAGCGTTGCTACTTGCTGGTCATTTCCCTGACAGCGTATATGAATCTTTTTTATTGTTAAGGGTTTAGCTGTGCAATTGCTTTATGAGTTGGTGCACTGGAGAGGATTTCACAAATAACCACCGTGTCAGATCCTGATTGTGCATGTACTTAGCATGTGCTTCAGTCCACAGTGTTTCCATGGAAATCACTGAAGGCTGCAGTTGCAAAGCTAGACATTTACATAATTGTTTGGCAGACTGGGATTATGTGGGGAATAAAACCACTGAAACCATGACATGCATTTGCAGGAGTGTAGCTCTGAATAATGTGTAACTCGTGTGTCAGCTTGGTGCTATGAAAATGCTACACAGAGTAGCAAAGCACTTACTTTGATCCATTTCCTTGCTTAAAATTAACGAGGACTGATTGTGGCCATTAGTCCTGATACCTTCATACACTGGTCTGCGTTAGACTGTTTCTAACCTTAGCTAGCGAAGTGTGTGCAGCACAGCAGCTTCCAAGGAATCCCCATGAGTATCTGAAACCCAGGCTGCTTTTAATTCCTCTTAAGCAGGCATGGACTAAAGCCTGGGGACAGAGATAAAGAAACGTTCAGACTCCTAAACAAAACAGCATGATGTCTCTTCACATGTGAAGTCATGATGCTAAATGGTAGTGAGAGAGAGCAGAATTGTCATGGCCACGCTTACCTTGATGCAAATTAGGGGTAGATTAAATTAGTTTATGCTACAGTAAACATAACTTCATTCTGCACCGTGAACTTGAACTGAACCTTTCTGCATGGCTGGAAATGTACAGCTTCCACTGTGCACATAGTGTTTGTCATTTTCCTGACCTCCCCAGAAGGGAGAGGTTCCGAAGCAGACTCACCAAAGTACCATCTGAAAAATAAAGCCCGGTTCTGGATGATTTTCAAACACAACAAATCCTGGCTAAGCTTTGCATAAACATCTCACTTTTGCACTGTTACCATATTAATTTTTTCTTATAAGTGCATATATATATATGTATTTTTATAGACTTATGTGTATGTGTGTGTATATGTGTGGGTGTGTGTGTATATATGTATAGAAAACAATGGATAAAGTTCCAAAGGAAGGGGGTGTGTATAAAGCCAGCCTTTGGAAGCTCATTTGCTGTCAGACTTAAATAACTTTTTGGAGTGCTGCTAATATTGAAAGTCAATGATTTCTTTGACCCCTTGTTGTCTCTCCCTTGCAGTCACTAGACATGGCTGGCAACCAGCTGACGTCCATCCCGTCAGGCCTGCCAGAATCTCTAGAGTATCTGTATCTTCAGAACAACAAGATCACAACCATTTCAGAGAATGCTTTTGAATCCACACCCAACATAAAGGGGATTTACCTCAGGTGAGGTCAAGTTTCCACTTCAATGTACAAGATTTTTTTTCTTCTTCCTCCACTTTATAATTGCTTACTTTAATCCTAACTTTTTCAGTAAGCAGCTTTGTTTTATGGTAATGTATGCTGAAACTATGTTCACCTGCTCAGAAAAGACATGGATACATGAAATAAGCTCTTTCTGTTCAGAGTTTGTCTTCCCTGGGCTTATAATGGATCAGGGATGTTCTAAGTTCTGGGAAACTGCTGTTTCACATTATGTCATGTTCCAATATTCAGCTGTCAGCTAGAAGTTCACAGTCCACTTGTAGGGCTACAGCTTTGCCTGTGTCTGTTAGCCCTGGATTTTGACAAAATCCCCCTCCAGTGAGGCGTGTGTGACTAACCGAGCAGTTGTGTGCATCCCCTTGATGGTTTGGTCAGAAACAGAGGACCAGTCACAACGTGACAGTTACGTGACTCCGTTTAGGAGCCTTCCTGGCTTTTTTCCTACTCTGTCAGTTGGATGAGGACTTTGCTTTTATAGGTGACAGATACTGACCTTTTTACATAGAATATAAACGCACAGTGGTGTAACTGATTCAAGAAGAGATTTATACCACAGGAAGTGAAGCAAGAATCCAGCCTAGCAATATATTCAATTTTACTCTGATGGAACATTATTGAAAATATTGCTTAGAAGTAATTTATGAACCCCTATAGAATATTTTATGAAGTTGATCCAATGGGTGTGCTCAAAAAGCCTAGGCTGCCTGCTGCGTAAGACTAAATATGGTCTTATTTTGTCTGTATGCAACTAAACTGTTCTGCAGTTCTAAACAGTTCTGATTCATACCTTTTTGGATGAACGATTCCATATCATGCAAATAAAATTACAAAGTCTGGTGTAAATTAGAGCAGTCTGTCTATTCAGCTGCTCGCATTTATGAGATTTTAGTGAATGCTTGGATGCAAACCAGAAACCACATACCGCATTCTATATTTCTATATAAAGAGGAAAAGGAATTTGCAGTGCTGTTTTGCTAACATATTTAAGAGGGAACTCCACCCAAGCTAAGTTGTATTTCTTCATGGGAGGCTATTAATCACTGCAATGCTGTGAAACAGTCATACACATCCAGAGTATTAGACAGAATGTGTTTTTAAGCGTGCTCTAGAGTAACAGACCAAGCAGTGGTCCTTAAATTGCAGATTAGTTTATTTATATTCTTGGAAACCCAAATAAAAGATGAAAAATTATTGCGTATTTGTATTTTGAATTTTGTGGAAGAAGAATTAAACTATCAAAGGATGACACAGAATCTCATGAAAAAGCAAGCTACACTTTGAAATGGAGCTGATGCTTTTCCTCTTTGGGAAGGTAAAAGCAGAATACCAAGAGAAAGAATTGGTGGGGGAGGAATCCCAATGTTATTTTTTTTCCTTGCAGAATACAGTTACGGAAGGTGGAGGAGGGGCTAAGGCAGAGGAAAGTAGAAGGTTTTTGAGAGCTTGGTCAGTAAAATTGAAATTAGTGGGACATACTTAGTGCTTCCCAATATCTTCCTGCCAGGTCCTTTGTGAGGATGCAGAGTGCTGCCAGCAAACTTTGTTCAGTCAGTACTTGGCTTCCCTTCCTTCTTCCATCCAGAGGAGTCAGGACTCCTTGAATGCTGGTGTGGGTCAGTGTGAAGTAGCTTGGTCAGTGTAAGTTAGAGTAACTCTGCGGAAAGGTTCCCTCCTACTCTCCTCATTTCTGTGTTGGATATGAAAATGGGTTTATTTTAACAGGGAGGCCTTCTTGTGTGTTTAAAGGTTTAACAAGATTGCAGTTGGAGCACTGAAGGAAAGTACCTTCCAAAACCTAAAGCACTTACAGGTACTGGATATTGAAGGGAACCTTGAATTCAGCAACAGTTCAAAGAATAAGGATGACTCAGAAGAGGAAATAGAAGATGAGGAAGAGGAAGAGGAAGAAGAACTGTGATAAAATGTGAACTCACACAAGCACATCATGTGGGAGGTAAGAACTGTAGTTTAGTTAAAGCAAGGACCCAGTTCTCAGACTCTTGTGTAAATAATTCCAATTTACAGGTATGATTGAAACAATTGTGTGAGCCCCATGCTCAAAGTCTCCCGCTAAAACAGGACTGGGAAGTGCAGAATCAAAAAGGGTTGAAAATACATGATTTTGTAAAATGAAACAGCCAGTACATGTCTGTGTTCTATCAGAGGCAGTGGACTGTGGCTTCTGCTGATAGCTGCAGCAGACACAACAGGTAATTATGAAGGTCATTATTTACTAATTCTGATAACAAAAATTGAAAAGGTATTTCATTATATTTTTAATCAACTAGTTCAAAAGGAAAACAAAGAGAAAACTGTGAAGCTTACTGATGCAGAAAACCATGTGAGCTGAAAATGGATTAAAAAAATTAGACAAATTGTTGTGGTTTAACCCCAGCCAGCAACTAAGCCCCACACAGCCACTCGCTCACTCTCCCCTGTTGAGATGGGGGGGAGAATCAGAATGGAAAAAGTGAGAAACCTCGTGGATGAGATAAAGCCAGTTGAGTAGGCAAAGCAAAAGCCGTGCATGCAAGCAGAGCAACACAAGGAATTCATTCGCTGCTTCCCATGGCAGGCAGAGGTGCAGCCACCTCCGGGAAAGCAGGGCTTCATCACGCTTAATGATTACTTAGGAAGACAAACACCGTCACTCCAAACGTCCCCCCCTGGGGGAAGTAGGTGGGGTGGGTTGAGAAGCAGAAAAGGCCTTGCCTCTGTGTAAGAACTGCTTGGCAATACCAAAAACATCCCCGTATTATCAATGCTGTTTTCAGCACAAATCCAAAACATAGCCCCATACCAGCTACTGTGAAGAAAATTCACTCTATCCCAGCCAAAAGCAGCACACAAATGAAAGGAAGATAGGTCCACTGGTGTCCGTAAAAGATGGCGTTAACACTACAACCTCTATCTGAAGCAGTCTTTATATCCCTGACCACTCAGAATAGGAAGATACTACTATACTTGGTATACTTCTTACAGGAAGAGTATGTATTTCAGGTCACTTTTGGAGATGATATGCAGGGCTGGATAGATGCCTAGTCCAGTTCAGCCAGTTCGCACAACAGCCTGTGCTTCTGCTATTGTTAAGTATTGGTGAGGATTCACTGCTCACTTCGCCAGACCCACTGAAAGGTCTCTGCCCAGCTACAGGTTGTGATTGCTGCTGACTTTGATTCCAGACTGGTAATCTTGAAATTAAGATCTCAGTATTCCATAAATAATCTGGCCAGCCACTCAGTCTCTCTAGTTGAACCTCTTTTCTTTCAACTGCAGAAGATGAGGGGAGAATGATGTTTGAAGAATATGCATTTTTCCATAAGAAAAATAGGGATCTGCTTAATGCGCCTCTTACACATATTATGTTCAAAGATGATGAGGTTCAAGACACTGCTTCTACTTTTGGAGAGGTAAACTCTAAGACTTGGAAAATAAAAAAGTTTACTTTTGTCCCTCATCAACATACTGTCATGGAGAATGACCCAAGAAATTGCTAGAAACAGTGCTAATATGCTGAAAAGATGATGAGGCGTGAAAAGGGCAGAAGCTACTTGGAAAGTCAAACATTAGACCTCCTGGCTGGGTTATAGAAAAACTTTGTAAGCGAAGAAATAGTTTATGTATACAGAATTAGAGTACATATAACTTCCGAATCAGTGCATCTCTGGTCTGGTGTGGGGCATGTGCAGCATGTCAGCAGGCACTAAGTTTACAATATTCTGAATTCTGTATTCCATTATGTAACTGATTTTGGTTTTCTGATGTTTTGCAGGAAAGCATATGGAACTTACATATATGTCTATGTGTATATATCTATATAGATATACAGAGAACACTTAGCAAAACGTGCAATGAATTACACAGAAACTGTCGTGGCACTGGGCCAGGCTCATGGAAGACAGCGTGTTACAGTGCCTTATTCGGGGAGAGACCCTGAATGCCTTTCCAAAGCTTCCAAATCATCTTATACAAGACCCAGGATCATAAGGGATTGCTCTGGAACTCACAAAAGCTGGCTTTTGTTTCTTCTGTTTCTTTTCCCTCACTGTTTCCATCTGTAATAACAATATGGGACTGTTTTGAACACGTGCCTTCAAATGCTGTTTTTGCCACTGCATTTTAAGTGAACCATGTATATGCTGCTTTTCTTTTCCTCCATCCTTAAGAAGCTGTTGTTGATCAGGCAAGATGGATATTTGCAGTACTTTCATGTGTGGAGCAGTGTATGAGGCATTTTTGTCATCAAGCAGCAGTAATAATTCTAGATGCAATTATTCCTCTGTTATAACAATGTGTATATTTGGATAAGAAAAACAAAGTAAGGCTGGATCCCATAATATTTTATCTCTACTGCCAAGCTTGCAGTATATGCCTGTTTTAGAAAGGTTTTAAGATTGCTCTTGTGAAAATATATATAAAATCTGTATGTCTGCCTTCCAGAGCTTTGTTAAAGCTTCTGTCTTGCTGTTGTTTGCCCACGTGGCAGTTGTGTGGACGTCTCCAAAGGTACGTCCACATGACTGAGTAACAGTATGCATTTTAATATACGTGGTAGAATTTACACATATTGTGTGCCATTCACATTAATAGTCAGAAGTGAGACGAATGAAGTGAGTATGGGGTGTCTTAGGAGGAAACTTAAGCGTCAAGAGAAATTTGTTTAGTTCAAGTCTAGGGACAGTGCCTGTTGTCATACTTGAAGTCTTTTTTATGGTGTTGAGCATTCTCAGCTCCTGTTGAAATCACAGAAAATAAGAACACCAAGGAAAAGACGACTATCAAAGGTACCTGGGTGGCCAGCTGCCTGTTTGATTCTAATATCCTTCATCTGAGGAACTAATCTGCTTGAGGAAATGGTCTTTTCTTTTGAGGATTTCTGATTGAACATGTGTTGTTTTGCAAACTGCATTCCAGGATTTACTTGGAAACGCAGTTGGCTTAATTTTTTACCAGCTGTTTTTCTTGCTGGAGAAGATCTAGTCCCACACTCTCCCTCTGGGTTCCCAGAGCACATAGCAGTATTTTCAAGCTGCTATTTCCTACCCTAGACAATTCAACTTGATCATGAATCATGGAAGGAAAGATTGCTTCCTAAAAAAATAAAAGCTTGACCCTAAAAACCTAGAAAACCCCCACATTTTTGAATATCAGCTATACAGTTGAGCAATAAAATAGCCTTCCAGCTAACTTTTGGGATAGATTTCTATGTGAAATGTCTGCAGAATATAGCTCAAATCAATTAGCTATCTGCAGAAAATCCCAGCAAACCTTGGAAGACAACTCTTCCCCCTAGTAAAAGCCTCAAAACCCCTCAAGAGGAACATCTTTGGATTGTCATTTAAGAGATTGATGTGGGAGAACTGCAGGCTTGATTCCTTGCTTATTTTTTATCATCAGCACCTATGACATCAGACGTAAAAATATCAAACCAAAATGGTAGTTTGTTTCTTTTTTTTCCAAAGGAATGAGAGGCTCCATGAGAGATGATGAGGATGATTCAGAAGCCTGTAGGACTAAGCCCGTGCATTTCTCTTGACTTTGGGTGACGCCTGTAATCCCAAGGTTCAACCCAGACCTTGGGTGGAGCAGGACCCAGGAACAGGGTCTAAGTTTATTATTTCCTTCAGTGAAAATGAGAGTTGGAAAGTTGGCCTCTACTTAGGCCATGAAGTTGGGCCTGAAAAAGACAACATGTACGTTGTTTTCATGTAACTTTCTTTCTGTGAATGACTTGGATTTGGGAAAGAGACGAATAGAACATTTTTAAGGCTGAGATGGATGGACAGTGAAAACTCGAAGTTTAAAACATTCAGTTGGCAACTTTATTCCTAAGTATGCATTTGCACGTGCTTAATATTTATGTGTGGCTGTATGCAAACTGAGGTCCAAGTTTATTTGCTGTTTTTCTTGTGAAGGCCATGTTTCCTCATTACAGAGGATACTGCACAAAACGGGAAAAATGCGATTTTTCTGAGGTTGGATACGATTTTTCACAGCAACAGGAGAGCAAATGCAGCACATGAGCTTTAAATTACTCAACAGGTGCCAAAAATAACCCCTGGATAATGAGCTTTTATTTCAGACGGTGGGCACATAGCTCAGCTGCATCTGCAATGGGACAGGCCCAGCTGCAGTCATTCTCCCCCTCGTCCTCATTCCTTCAGGGTCCTCAGGTTACTTGTGTCTTCCCCAGAGGTTTTATCTCCCCACAAGGAGCTTATGGCCCCCTTTTTCACTCCCTGGATGTCAGGAGGGGCCCATGCTGAGGCGCCAGGGCTCACACTGGATCTGTGGAGCCTGTGTCTCGCTGCTGCCCATGTTCACATAAGTGGAGGGCTCCTCCTGCCCCAAATGGGCAAAAAAGCCCCTCAAAGGAGCTGGTGCCATCTGACCTGCTGTGAGAAGAGGAGAGGCTCTGCCTGCGGCAGCTCCTCTGTGGGAAGGAGGTGGCACCAGGCCTAGGCCTTCCCTCCTCCAAGACGGCGCCCTGCAAGCCCCGGTGCAGGGGACAGCAGGACTTGATGGGTGACCACCAGTCCCTGGCCTCATCCGGCAGAAGGGGTGAGTTGTGGGGGACACCAGCAGCCATGCTGCCAGCGAGGGAGGCAGGGTGAGGGGCTGGGGGCTGAAGCACCTTCGTGGTGCGGTGAGGGGCTCCTGGTGTGCCTCAAGGCCTCACCACACTGTTCTGTGGTGTTCAGGGTTTAAGTGTTATGTTTAATGAAAAAGGGGTGCTTTACACAGTAAGTAGACACTCTTCTCAGGAAAAAGGAGTTAAGGAATAAAAAACAAACAACCCAACTCCGAAGGAAAACTTTTGATCACATTTTAACGGGGATGTAGTGGGGCAGCAGGAAGGCGGCAAAGCACTCCCTTGAGGCAGCGGCAGCGGCAGCTCCTGACGAGCCAACTGCAGACCTCTGGCAGCCGCGCAAGATCTCTGTGGGGCTGCTTCCTCTGAGAGCTGCCAGCCACCCTCCTCGCAGCCGGCTCTGGGTCAGACAGACATGCCCGGGTGAAGATCTGCTGTATCTTCTGAGCTCTGGGGACTTGGATATTATTTTAATGAGCTGCCTCCCCTAAATACTACAGGATTGTCCTTTAAAAGGGCTACTGGGGAAAGGATCCTCCAGCTTCTGCAGGTGCTGAAGAGTTGGGCTGTCAGGCCTTGCTTCTAAGGCATCTGTGGTACAAACCCCCTCCTCCTCCGCTGCTGCTTTGCAAGAAGAGTAGAGGGGACTTCTTCCTCAACAGGCCAAGGATCCGGAGTAGCAGAAGTTAGGTACGTGCAGGAATGAGTCTACAGACCTGCATTAACAAAGTGGATGAGAATGGGAAATGTCCTCTTCCCTGGCACCCAACTGCCATTTCCTCTGCTCCTCAGTGGTCATGCAGAAGGGGGAGGCAGGAGGGGTCAGATCAAAACTTCATAACTGTCCTGTTTTGACAGTGGTTCTCGATGGTTGGTGAGAGTTTAGTTCATGATGCTGTTTGTCTCCATGTTCACTGAGCCCACTAACATTTTTACAACTCTTGCTTACAAAAAACTATTAAGAATAAAGACACATTTTACAAATAATATTTTTATGGGAAGTAATCTCTTGGAAAGCTTCCATGATCTAGTCCAATATCCTAGTAATTGATTGAATTCTATACAGTCATATTGGTGAGTCTTTCCACCTGGGTTTGGGAATAGTTGTCCTAAAATCTTAAACACGTATAGAGTTTTATACAATATGAATTTAGCCTTGTTTTTTTCAAGATATTTCATTCTCTAATGGGATTAATTTATGGAGACCATTGTAATTGCTTTATTATGTTGCTAATATAAGAACAGTGAGTAAACTCCCTGAAGTACTCAATTTCCTTTAGTGGGGAAAATACTGGTGTGCCCTGTAGCTCTGATTCATACTGCTATTGTAAAGTCAGCCAGCTGTGAGATACATGTGGAGGCAATGGGTGATAAATGTGTTCTAATAATCCAGTATACAAAGTGTTTCCATAAAAATTCTTCAGTAGTATCCAAGGACGTTAAACAGTCCATCAATAAAGTTCTTCTTTAAGTGGTTTTGAATCAGGCAAAGGCAGTTTTAATGCACAGTTATACACGCTCTCTCAAGTTTTCCTCATGGTAGTTCCAGAATCTGTTTTTAGCATATGATTATAATACTGTCGAGAACGTTGCTTCCGATAAAGATTCAGATTGATTTGCAGTATTCTCAGCTCCAGTTGCAGGCAAGAAATGAAGGAGCCCCATGCTTTTATTACTTAGGATAGAATTGTGGTTTTGTTGACAGTCATCAAAGAAGTTAGCTTTAAAAAATCCCTACTTAGGGTGGATCTTTTATATAGGATTAAAAGTAACTTTGATTACTTTTATAGGACTCTAGATCTCTCCCCTTCTTTGTGGTGGACTTCTGTTTTGAGTCTGTTTAATTCAAATGCAGCAGTGGGATAAAACTCAAAGCACTTTACTGATGTGCTGAAGACAGCAGAGTTGCTGCATCATGAGGCACCCTCGTCATCCATCTGCAGCTTAAAAGATTCGGCACTGGAAGACTCACTTCAGTTATTCCTACTCTGTCTTGTAAAGCAGGTGAATCTTCAATGCCAAGTCAAGCAGGAACAGCCAAAGTGAGTCTTCCAGGTTGTTCTCACCTGCTTTACAGAGAGGGGACAAACAAAACATCTGGGATGCAGATAATCTCTGATACCTTTTGTGTAATGTATTCTGGAGAGCTGCAGATTACTTGTGCAAAAGGTACAGTATGGGGCTGCACATTAGTCCTGTGCACAGCACCAGTGAGAGAACAACTGAGAATGCGCAGTCAGGGTGGAAATTCTCTCTGTTGGGGAGTTTTGAGGCTTCCTTTCTGAACTTTCTGCTAGAGCTGGGCTCAACCACAGTGCTGGACTGACACACTCCTGTCCGTCCTGATTCCTCCCTCCCCAGATATTTCATTAGGAGGGATTTAATCTCAGAGAAATGTTTTCTTGTATTAAAAAAACCCTGAAAATTGGATCAGTTATTCTAAAGCAAAGATAATACCTTTACTGATTAAACTATCAATAGACTGCCCAACTCTCTGTACTCTGAGGATTTGGTTTGTTGTTTTTTTTCCAGAAAACTCATGAAATATAAAAGAACAATTTGAAGTATTTAAATTGAAAAGAAGATGGAAGATTAGGGTTGAAAATACTCAGTTTGACTAAGTTCTGTATAATTTCCATATGTTTTTAATAGCCTAGTGGTAAAACACAGTAAAACCACTAGAAGCAATGAAATCATAATGAAACATCTCAAGGTCAATCTTGTTTTTCTTTTGGTTTTGCCATCTAGCCCATACAGTATTTGTAGCAGCTGTAATGTGAGATATCTGTGAACATAAAACACTTCTTGTTTTGCTTCCCCTGCTTTTTCCATCTTATTAAAATACCC